TTTAAATAAGAGACATTAGAACACCAAGAGAACACAGGCATCGGCATGAACATTTCACCTCAATATGCAGATTAAAATACTTGGTGCTCCTGCTCCCCAGAATTACTCAAAAAAAAAAAAAAAAGCTTAGAGGATAACAGGATATTCTGGAACACTGATAATTGGCAACAAACACTATTTTAGCATTTATTCATCCAGTACACCATGTTAAACACGGTGCTGGCGAGCCAAGCCATGTCCAAGGCCTGTCATCCACGTAAAGATCAGCACAGCCAGAAGAGAAAAGGAGACAGACAGGTTGGCTCCCAGCCAAAACCTGCTATTTTTTCCACCCTTTCTTTTTTTTTTTCTGTGAAGAAGGGGCAGGAGATACCAAACCCCACGCTATCAGATCACAAAACATGGCTGTGCTGGGCAAAATTTATAGGCAGCTGCTCTTTGCTCAGGTGTTAATTGAGCCATCAGTCCGTTTGTTTGGAACCCAACTATGCAGGGTGTGCTCTCCCAGGCCCTGCAAAGAAGGAGCTGGCAGGTCCTGGTCTGGAACACACCACGTGCTTCCCACCCACAGCCCACCCTCAGAGGACATTTTACACTCAGGAGCCACTTAACGAGACAATATCAGAAAAGCAAAAAAATAAATAATAAAAAAAGAAACAAAGTTAGTCAATACACACTGCGAGCTCCAACACATACTATACCCATCTGCATTCTTCAAGACCTCAGCTGCAGAATTTTATGCCCATTGTTGAAAAGTTTTAAAGGAAAAGCTTTCTTGCCCACACCTGCAGTAAGGAAGTCAGGGGAATGATACATAAAAGCAAAGGCAAAGTGGTAATGGTATGTGACAATTTTAAAGCTCATCTGTGCATATGACACAGGTATGTGTAATACTAAAGTATGAATATAGTTTAGGATTCACAAGCATCCAGGAATAATGTTGTGTCTACTGAATTTTTTTTTTTATTTTTTTTTCTTTCTAAGCTACACTTTTAAAGTTACTTGTGAAAAAAAGCAAACACTTTTTTTTTTGTTATAACAGCTTTAAAAATTGGTTGTGACTCACGGCTCGATGAACATGAGGCTTTTCTGCAACTCCCTTGCAGATTGATGTAGGCAGGCAAAGATACACTGAACCTTTATAAATAAAATAGAGGGGCCACAATTGTTCAGTTTGTATGAAATAAAATTATGGGAAGCAATTCAATAGCAACTCAATACACAGAGAAAGAAAAGCACTTATTCACTTACGAAACAAAGTGCAAAGTGCCTGGACAGCCCTGTTAACGTGCCAAAGGGAATTTAAGTACCCAGCGAGTCGCAGAAGGGAGACACAAACCGCAGCGGGACCGATTTTGCACGGGCTGTCACATTTCTCGTCTCGGACAGCACCCGGCGCGGCCGGCGCTGCGGGCACACCTACCTACGCGCCTCTGGACGTGCGGGCACGGAGCCGGCCCTAAGCCTGGCCGCGGCAGCCGGGGCCCGGAGCGGCGGGGCTGGGCGGCGCCGGGCGCTCTCTGGGGCCGGGGGCGCGGCGGGATCACCGCTGGCCAGGCGCGGGCCCTGCCGGGCTCCCTCCGCCCCGAGCGCCGACAGGCACAGGCCCGCTCCGCCGCCCCGAGGCTGGAGCCGGGCGGGCGGGGGCGGATCGCGCCGCAGGTCCGGAGCGGCGGCAGCAGCCGAGCCGGGCCGGGCCGGGCCGGGCCCCGCGCGGTGAGACGGCCGCCAGGCCGCGGCGTTTCCTGCAGGCCCCGCCCGCCCCTACTCACCGTCCCGGGCCGTGCCCATGAGCTGGTCCAGCAGGGCCCGCATCTGTGCTTGGGCCGACATGGCGGGGCCGGTCTGGAGGCGGCGGCTCCGACCGAGACCGGGACAGGGGCAGGGGCCTGGGGCGGCGGCGGCAGCTCAGCGGCCTCAGCAGCGGCGACGCGCGGCGAGCGCTGAGCGGAAGCAGCCCCGCCTTGCACCGCGCTGCATGACGGGAAGGGTAGTCCGCCAGGGGGCGGGGCCCGAGGGACGGGGGGTAGAGGGGCGCGAGTGGTGGGCGTGGCCTGAACACAGTTGCAGTGACGTCAAGGGCACGGCTCGGTCGAGGGGGCGTGGTCGGAGTGACGTCAAATGGTGGGGTGGGCCGAGGGGCGCGGTCAGGTGACGTAGCCGTGATGTAAGAAGGGCGTGGCCTGGCCGAGGGGCGCGGTCAGGCCGAAGGGGCGAGGGGCGGACGAGGGCAGCCTCAGCACGGGCCCGGCTGCGGTCCCGGTCCCGGTCCCGGTCCCGGTCCCGGTCCCGGTCCCGGTCCCGCCGCGGTGGGACCGGACCCCAGCACTGCCGTGGCAGCCGCCCCGTGGAGTGGGCACAGTAGCCAGGCCTCAGCAGTTTCCCGGGGACAGGCCTGGGCTGCCCTGGCTGTCCCCACCGCACTGTGGCAGCTCGGGGCCACCGTGACGAATGTGGGGAGGGGGAATGTGGGGCAAGGAAAGCCCCTGCCGGGGGTGGGGGGGTGATATTCACATGGCCGTGGCAGGCGGAAGCACAAGGAAGCTGGGTGGATGCATGGAGAAGGGGACGAACCCCCTTGCACACGGGCACAGCCAGGAGAGGGCCGAGGACAGAGCAGGACAGGACTGGACGGTCCGTGGCTGCTCTCCCGGCTGCTGGGGGGAGGATGAGGCTGTGCTTTTGCAGGGAGCTTGGGCTGTTGCGGAGCTTTGCCGTGTGCTGCATTCCCTGTCTGGCTTTCTGAGTTCCAGCTCGCACTATTGCCATGAGTTTTACCTCTTGTCTCTTCACCTTGAGTTCCCGGCCCTGGCTGATCTATGAATGCTCCCTGTGCTGAAGAAATGCCACCCGCTCTTTTTACTGCCACAGGGCTACAAAGGCAGCGAAAGTTCGAGCCAGAACCCTGGTGCAGGATGCTCTGTTGGCCATAACTATGCCTGGTTTTCCCCCACATTTAAAGCTCCGTTGGCTTTCAGAGAAGGCGGCGTGAGCCAGCCCTGAGCAGGGCTGTGCCGCCGCCCGGCTCCGATGGTCCATCCCGGGTGAGCAGAATCAGCCTCACCTCAGAGCGGGGTCTGCGACCTCCCTGCTTGTCTGCGGGGGTCTCTGCAGACAGGAGACCCCTCTCCTGTGGGGGAGCTCCTCATGCCCGGCCCTGGCAAAGTTTGGAGCATATATGGCCACCCTGGGCACCCGAATCAGTGCAAAGCCACAAGCCCAAGCCTGCTGCAGGAGCAGTGACGTTGCCTCTCCCTGCTGCTCGCCCTTGGAACGGTCCTGCTGAGCCCTGGATGTTCCTTAAGTGCGTTATTCCTTCCCACAGAGGAAGGACACCTCATCACTCCTAACTCTGTGAGCCAGCAGCCAGGTCATGTGCTCCCCACACCTTGTCCCACACATGGACCTCCTCGCCAACACGCCTGGACCCTTCTCGCCTGGGCAAAGGGACAGTTCAGCCCTTCCCTCCGGCCGGACTGACCCGGAGCTCTGTGTGAGCTCTCCACATCTCCTGCACTGCAGGAGGAGGGCCTGGGACATTAAGTGGCTGCGGACACCGGAGGAAGCCGCCTTTCCCTCGGGATTCGGGGTGGGGATCAGAGTGGCTGACCGACTCCCAGGGCTGGTTCCCAGGGCTGGAGCCAGTAGCAATGCCGAGCTGTGCCAATGCCGAGCAGTGCCGGGCAGGTGGGTGACAATGGGTGACGCCGGGGAGCAGACTGAAAGGTGCCCGTGGCTAATCAGCTCCCACCCGCCCTGTTTGCCCAGCAGTGCCCTGGTGGCTGCTGCTCCCGCCCGGCGTTGCTGCTGTGAGCGTTTGGAGAGAGGAGAGGGAGCTCTGCGGAGCCGGTGCCCAGCCCTGCCCCTGCCGGGAGTCCCAGGGCTGCCGGCCCGGGGAGCGGATCGGGGACAGCCCTGCCCAGGCTGGGACACTCTCCTCTCCAGTGCTGCACCTTGCCAGGAGTTGGGGACCCCATCTCAGCACTGCAGACACCTCAGAACACGGTGCCCAGGGCAGGGAGGGCTCCGAGGGAGAGACCAGGAGCTGCGGTCACCCCAAAAACAGGAGAGCAGGGCTGTGGCTGTCCCCAAGCCCAGTGATCGGTGTCCCATACCCTGAGTGTCCCCAACACTGGTGACAGGGTCTGGGTGCTATGTCAGGCCCCTGCCATGCTGTGCTCTGTCCTGTGTCCTCTGGCCATCCTGTGTCCCCGGTCACCCTGCACACCCAGCCATCCTGTGTCCCCTAGCCCTGTTCTGTGCTGTCCCAGATGACCCCGCTGACACATCCTGCTGCCAAGGCAGAAATGGCACCTCTGACACAGCCTCTCTGGGACCTGAGATGATTGCCATTGTCCCTGCCGTGGGGCTGGCCCAGACACTCTCCACATGGAATGTCCTCCTTTGCATCCACAGATTCCCAAACCACTCTCAGGGCTGGTCAGGGAGCTCAGTATCCATCTCAAAGGGTCACAAGGCTGGAGATGAGTGGTCTGAACCTGCGTGAGGGTGGTGCAGCACCTGGGGGTAGCCCACTGAAAGGTTTTGTCCACTGCAGCGGCAGCCCTTGTTTGCAGAGGCATCGCTCAATACGCAGTATGTTCTTCAGAAGATCCCTACTCCAGGAGTCAAAATAGCATGAAATTTAATTTTACGCCTATTTGACAAAGCTTGATTTCGCCTCCAATCAGCAGAGAGATAAGAGCCCTCGGCACAAGTGTGCGGGCAGTTTGGCAGCTGGGGCTGCCGATTTAATAGGTGAATTTACAGGGACAACACTTGAAAATCCCCTGGCTAGTGAACCATTAAGGTGAGCCCTGCCTTCCGTCCCCGCGTCCCTCCCCGCGCCGCTCTCCCGTTGCTGGGTGCTAAAGCAAACCCCAGCTCTGTTTACCGAGTCTACTATTACAATACGGCTACCAAATATTTGCCAGCCGTCAGCTCGCTGCTCCGCTATAAATACTTCAGGCCCAGGTGGAGGGACGGGCAGGGGGAGCGGCGCGGGAGCCTATGCATGGTCGGGCGGCAGCGCCAAGGTGAGTGCGGAATCGCGGGCCGGGCGATGCCCTCCTGCCCCGGGGCTTTCTCAGGCTGAGTGGCGATGGCGGGGCAGGCTGTGCTGACCCCGCTCCCCTGTCCCCGCAGCCCCGGGATGTGCGCTGCCTCGTGAGGCTGAGCCCCCCACAACCCACCCCGGGAGTACCGCGGTGGGGACGGCACAAAGAGGGACGCGCAGAGATGGCAAGGGCAATCTTAGGCTGGGTGCAGGTCCCGGCACCATGCTTGGTGTGGCAGGAGCAGGTCTGGTTATCTAGGATTTGTTCCTGCCCTGAGGCTCTCTCAGCATGGCCAGGGATGTCCTTCAGCGGGGCAGGGCTGGGGACCCTTCAGCACAGATAGCACGAGATACAAAGGGGCCACATCCAGCTCAGCAAAACCCAACTGTGGCCAGAGCCCAGCAGGGCAGCGCAGGGAGGCGGTGGGTTCACTCTGTGAAGGGGCCATTGTGTGGGCAGGGCATGAGGCTCTGTGGCACTGAGCCCAGAGTGGCAGGGTGGGTGCTGAGCCCCGTTCATCTCCCTGCACAGCCCCGGGGTGAAAGGGAACCTCCCTCTGCCCCACAGCTCTGGAACACATCCCCACTGCCCTGCATCCCATGACTTGATGTGGACACTGATCCCATGGATCAGTGCAAACATCCCTGCTGCCCCACATCCCATTACTTAGGGACATTCCCATTGTCCCACACCCCATGGCTTGATGGGGACATCCCCATTGCTTGATGTCCCGGGTTCAGTTAGAATATTCCCACTGTCCCATGTCCTGTTGCTTGTAGGGGAATGGCATCTCTGCTGCTCCATGTCCCACAACTCAAAGTTATGCTCCCACTGCCCCATGTCCCATGTTTTGGTGGGGGCACCCCTGCTGCCTGCTGTCCCAGGGCTGAGTGGGGGTATCCCAGGGGGAATACCTGCCCTCTTTCCCATAGCTTGGTATGGACATCCCCAACACCCCACATCCCACACCCCATTACTTGTGGGGAACATCCCTGCTGCCCTGTGGCCTCACCTTGGCCATGGTGTGGCACAACACAGTCCCGTGCCCTCTCAGGGCTGCTGGGCAGTAAGTCAGGGTTGGCACCAGGGTGTGTCACCCTGACCCCGCTGTCCCTGCCCGCAGATTGAGTCCTGGGGGTGCCTCTGAGCGCTGACATGGCTGCGGGTGTCATCCAGCCCCTGGCCGAGCTGCGCCTGCCCTCACCCTTCCCACACGGCCTCCTGCTGCCCACGCACCCCGAGCCTGACTTCCCTGACCTCTCCGAGGAAGAGGAGGAAGAAGAAGAGGAGGAAGAGGAGGAGGACGTGGAAGCAGTGGAGGAGAGCGTGAAGCCAGAGCTGGCCAGTGTCTCCAGCACTGCCGAGACCACCCTGCGTCTCCTCAAGTTTTCGGAGCTCATCAGCTGCGACATCCAGCGCTACTTCGGGCGGCGGGGCCGGGAGGAGATCGCCAGCAGCCGCCCCACGCCCGAGGACTGCGGCTCACCCCACAGTGCTGAGGCTGTGCCCGAGGTCGTGGCCCCACGGGACAGCCTGGGGGCCACGCACAGGCTGGGGCCGCTGGCCGAGCTCTTTGAGTACGGCGTGCACCGGTGCCTGCCTGCCCGGGTGGCCGGCAGCAGGACACAGCGGCTGGAGAGGAAGTATGGCCACATCACCCCCATGCACCGCCGGAAACTACCGCCCTCCTTCTGGAAAGAGCCAGGCCCAGGCCCCGCCAGCCTCCTCCACACCGGCACCCCTGACTTCAGCGACCTCCTGGCCAACTGGACAGTGGAGCCAGGGCCAGAGCTGCCAGGCACTGGGAGGGAGCTGCTGGGTCGCCCGGGGCTGGAGGCAGAGCCCTTTGCTGGGCTGTGACCCCACCGTGGCCCCAGGGGCCCTGGTCCCGCCACGTGCCACCCAGTTAATGATAAACCTGGTGGCCCCAGTGCCAGCACCGGGGCACTCAGAGCTGCTGGGTCGAAACTGGTGATGGGACGAGTGAATAAATGACTCCCGCCAGGCACCAGCGTGTGCCGTGTCCTTTGCCACCCACCACTGTGGTGTCCCTGCTGCCAGAGACAAAGGGCCGCAGCTTGGCATGACCCTGGGGGGCTGCTGGCTGCCCCAGCAGCAGCGGGAAGAGGAGGGAAGTGCGGTAGGAGCCGGCAGGAGCCAGCAGCCCGTGTTTACTCTGCGGCCCAAGTCGGTGGATCCCATCCCCTTATCTCGGCCGCGCCAGGGCAAAGGGCGATGCGGGGCCTCATAAAGCACCCGGCTGTCAGCACGCAGCAGGGACCCAGCACTGGCCTGGGGACCCACTGTGCCCCACAGCTCCCCTGCCCCAGGGATCTGAACCCACACAGGACAGCAGGGCTGGCTCTTCTTCCCCATGGCCCCACAGCTGGACCTGGCTGTTACCAGGGCCCAGCTGAGGCATCCTCTGCTTTGTGGTGGCTTTGTGTTGGTGTTGAAAGGGAAAAGGACCCGGGAAGGGGCAGCCAGCCCCTGCCTTGAGCCCTGCTGGGGGGCAGCGCCCAGGATGCAGCCCCCCCCCCCTCACTTCCAGCCTCTGCCCTCCCAGCAGCAGGAGTGGGGACAGGGCTCAATTCAGCCCCAAGGGGACACCTGAGCCTGGACAGTGGCCCCAAGGGAAGAAGGGAAGCAAGGGACAGGCAGCACCAGAATAAAAGTACAAACAGACTTTATTTCAGCTCAGATCCTGCAGTCAAAAGCCTCTCCAGGCACCAGGCTGCCTGTGTCCAAGTAAGGAAGGGGCAGTCCCAGGGCAGGGGGCAGGGCAATGCCAAGGAGAGGAGCAAGGATGGGGAAAGATTGGAGAAGTGAGGTCCAAGGCTGGCTTTGCTCCCACCCCCAGCCAAATCCAGGACTGGTGGTTGGGTTTGGGGTGCCTGGAAGGGCCCAGAACACACGCCAGGAGTGACTCTAGATCCCAGTGTGTGAGCAGCAGTGGTGAGAGAACTGCAGGAATGGCAGAGGGGCACAGGCTGCAGGACCAACATCGCCCCAGCACAGGCAGCTCTCCTGTTCCCATCCCTGCCACAGATCCCAGGGGTGTCTCCCCACACATGGGTTGGGGTCAGAGTGGCTGAGGGAGCCAAGAAAGAGCCAGAGGCGGCAGCTGCAGAACCAGGGGAGCCCTTTTATTGCACAGCCAAGCAGGGCACATCCCCCTCCTCAGTCCCAAGGAGCAGGAGGCAACTCCAGAGCTCAGCCCAACCCAGCAAGCAGGACCACAGGGCAGCGGGGAACAGGGGCCTGGGGGCAGGAGGGAGCCCCATCATGTCCCCTCTGCTCCTCTCACAGGCCCTGCAGCTGAAGCTAGGGCAGGGCTAAGTCCCAGACAGCCCAAACTGCGTGGATGAAGCAACAGAGGCCACGTGCCATGTCAGAGGAGTGTGCTCAGCTCAGTAGGGCAGTCCCGCTCCCCATAGAACACTCCAGCCTTCACCCAACCTTCAAGGAGAACCTATTCCAGGAGCTAACAGAGCCAAGGCTGAATTTTTTTGATCCCTCAGGGAAGCAGAGGAAGGGGTGACAAGAGGAGGCAGTAGACGTAGGAAGGCAGCAACAGGCAGGAGGGCCGGGGCAGCACGGCCATGCCAGTGCTCCAGGCACTGTGACACCTGCACGGACTGGCCCAGTCCTTGCCCCACCTCCTGCAAAAGGGGGTGCCCAGCCCTGAGGGGTCAGGGCACATCTCTGCTGGGCCACACTGCCTCACGTCTGTGCCAACGAGAGCTCCTCCAGGCCCTCCTTCCCCAGCCGGTACCTGGCGAGGTCCTTGCGGGTCACCATGCCCACCACCTGCCAGGAAAGGGACAGGGTACAGCCCCATGTGGGCACACAGAGCCTGGGGACAGCGTGGCCCTGGCCCCTGTAGGAGCCCAGGCTGCTTGGACACAGGGACTCACCTCATTGCGATTGTCCACAACCACCAAGTGCCGCAGGCCCAGGGCTCGGAAGAGCTTGAACACCCGTGGCAGAGACGCCTCCTGCGAGGCAGAACGGGGCTGGGAGGCTGCAGCAGCCATCCCCCCCCCACCTCAGCCCCCCAAGCCCACCCTGATCCCTGGGGAGCTGTGCACAAGGGTCCCTGGCCATTACCTGGGGCACGGTGTAGGGCGAGGGGTTCATGAACTCGCTGAGGTCAATCATGCACTCGCGCTCGTCCTGGGACACGTGAATGGACTGGATGGGGGGGAAGCGGGGGTAGGCATCCCGAAAATCCTTCAGCTTCAGCCGCCGCTGCACTAGGTTCAGGTTGGCCCTTTCCACAAAAACCTTTGGGAGCAAAGAGATGGTTGGGGACTACCCCACAGAGCTCACAGGCATCAAGACAATGCACAGGGCCAGGGAGGAAAAAGGGCAGAAGTGTGGGACAGAGGGATCATCTGCAGAAGCACAGCCTGCTTCCCGCTCCCTCAGAGTTTGTGAGCCCAGTGGGGTGCAGGATGATGCTGGGATAACCTCACCACCGAATGGCAGCACCCACCATCCCCCTGGGTGAGCTGAGGGAGATGACAGGGACCCTCTGCCAGCAAGGCAGGCAGCAAGGGGCCTGAGACAGAATTGGGACAGCAGGCACAACCAAACCTCCATCACCCACCTTGTGCTTCAGCAGGACGATGAGCTGGGAACGCAGGATCAGACCCCGCAGCCCGGCAACCTGCAACAGAGCACCGTGTGTGAGGGTCCCACACTGCAGCCAGCCCTTGTGTGGCCACCCCAGCTGCACTCCCTCCCCAGGGGCACCCAGCCCCCACCTGTGTGGTGTCAGGGTTGCTCTCCACCACAGGGAAGCCATTATGGTTGGAGGAGGTGTCACTGAGGATGTCCACGACCGTGCCCACGCGCTCGATCCTCCGCAGGCAGGTGACAGGAGTGCTCATCACCTCCCTGCAGGGAAAGCTCTGGGTGAAACACAGCCATGGCAGCACACACACTGAATCGTGCAATCACACACTGGTTTGGTGGAGAGGGACCTATAAGCTCATCTCATTCCAAACCCTTTCCATGGGCAGGGACACCTTCTACTAGACCAAGCTGCTCCAAGCCCCATCCAACTTGGCCTTGGACACTTCCAGGGATGGGGCAGCCACAGCTTCTCTGGTAACCTGTGCCTCACCACCCTCACGCTCTTAAGTATCTCCCCAACACACACGACTCCTCAGTGCTGACGCCCCCTGTGTCCCCAAAAGCAGCCAGGGAGAGAGGAAGGAACACACTGCAGATCACATCCCTACTGGGGAAGGAGCTGGGCTGTGGTACCAGGGGACAGCAGGCTCCTGTATCCAGGAGGTCACCACCTCCACCCCAGCTCAGGCCAACAGTATGGTCCAAAGGCTACTGCCACAGGAATGCCCAGCCCACCTACCTGGCTGTGAGGGAGTGGGATGTCACTGGGGCCTCCCAGTGCAGGAAGGGGACACTTTGCAGCTGGATGTGCATGTCGTACAATCCCTGTAACAAGAGCCAAGCCGTCAGGAGAAGCCTGGTGAGGTGTCAAGGGGCACAACCAGGCAGCAGCTCATCCCTCAGAGCGAGCACATGCCTGTCCTGGACCCCCATGGCCCCCCAGCACCACCAGCCCTGACCCACAGTCCTAGGGAGCACACCAGTCCTCACCTCCACAAAATAGTCTCCCACAATCTTTGCTGTCATCAGCACCAGCATGATGGGGAAGCCATAGGTGACGTTGCCTGTTGCCTCCATCATGATGACTGTGAGACTCAGTGTCATCCGCACTATCCCACCTGCAGAGGCACCCAGGGGTTTCAGGGGTTTAGCAGGGCAAGGAAAGACAGAGTGAAGGCATCACAGAACACCTGAGGGCCCTGAATCTCTCAGTGATTCAGGACTGCCCACCCAGGGGTGCCCTGGGTGAGCCCAGCCCTCATTGTCACCCCAGCACTTTCTGTGCTTGGCAGGGTGATTAGGGAGCTGACAGCCAGGCTGGGCTTCAGCTGGGAAGATGTCAGGGAAGCAGGGACTGATTTTTCCCATGACATCTTCACCCCAACCAACACTGTGTTATGGGGAACTCACCCAGCTGTGCAGCAGCTCCCATCAGGGCGTACTTCCCAGGATCAGCCCAGATCTGAGCACAGGAGAGAGAAGGAGTCAAGTCACCTGCTGGCTCCAGGGCATTCAGAGATAGTCAGCAGAGTCCTGGCCCCCAAATCCCCCTCCCAAGTGGGGAGAGGTGCCTGAGGCTGCCTAAACAACCCAGCTGCTGGCAAGGCTCCAGTGGGACATGGGGATGTCCAGACCCAGCTCATGAAGACATCAAGCAAGGAGCCAGCCCACTTTAGAGCTTTCAGCCAGCTCCAGGCACGCTGCCTGAACGTGCCAGCAGCCCAGCAGTGAGGGAGGAGGGCTGGGTTCCAGGGCTTCCCAGGCAGGACTCACCGAGCCCTTGGTCAGGTAGGACAGGGAGATGCCGAAGAGCCTCCCCCAGGCTGCCCCGATCAGCAGGGAGGGGATGAAGACCCCTGCAGACACTGTCAGGCCATAGGTCCAGCAGGCCAGGAAGAAATACATCAGTGTGAACATGCCCAGTGTCATGGGGTTGTAGGAACCTGGGGTGGGGACAGAACAGAGTCAGTGCTGGTCCCACAGCCCAGGGAACACTGTGATGGGCTGTGGCCATGGATCAGGCAGCAGCAGCCCCACGACACACTCCCAGCAGTGAGAGCCCCTCTTCTTAGGCTGCCCTGGCAGCACAGGCCTTTCAAACTGGCTCTTCAGGTTATTTCTGCCCCCCTACAACACCCCCCACCCAGCCAGTGCCATCCCCTAGCCCTCACACCCCATTCCTCCATCTCGTGACTCGTCTCCTCCCAGCCCTGTGGTTC